AAGATGCGGATCGAGTGTGGGAAAGTCGATGCAGGTAGATCGAGTTTATGGCAATCGATCTGCTTGACGCGGATCGATGACGTCAGGCGCGCACTACCGTCGATCGAGTACTCTAAACTCGATCCACGCCGTTCGATTCCAAAACACGCGAAGCAGGGATGACGCGGATCGAGTGGGCGAAACTCGATGCAGTCGATCGAATCGGTTGTGGTCGATTTAGTTGACGCGAACCGGTTGTGGTCGATCCTCGTATGTTGGCCATGGTGCATCATGCAGAACTCTAAAATCTCCTGAACCGGAAAACCCTCCCGATCCTTCACCTTGTTCGGTATAACCGCCCCCACCATATTGGCCAACAACTTCTGTCTCGACATACACCTCAGCAGTTGGAAATCTGTTCTCTGCAATAAATCTCACCATCATATTAACATCATCATCGTCAGACAAAACTGATCCTTCATATACAAGTGCATAATCCTTGTAAACCGGCATACGGTAAGTCATCTTGCATACTCTTCTCCCTCCTATGCAACATCGTTCCGCACAAATATGACTGAGTTCTTGCCAAGTAAATATGCTCTCAATCGGGACAGTACTTGATTCACCATCTTCGTAGTCATTACTATCATGAAAATGTGTAATTCGACCATTCCACCGAATCAATAAGTCGAATTTTTGAAATTTTCTACCCATTTCTGCAGTTTATAGAAGCAGCTCATTACATACAGTACAAACAATTCTAAATTAATCCAAAATTCTAATATGCTCATTCAAACAACGTAAGCAGAACTTACCTCCAAAAATTTTCTTCTTTGCTGAGCTATGGTGCTCCAGCTGCTGCAGTTTGTGTTTGGAAGAAAGAAGATAGAAAGTAAAAGAGCTGCCAGAATGTGCTAAGTGATGGCTTTTTATCCTCGTAAACTGATGCAGTGGTTCGAGTCCAAAAAACTCGAACTACCCTAGTTCGAGTTCATTAAACTCGATCTACGACAACCAATAATTTTACCCCCCTGCACCCTATTCTGGAGCATGTCGGACCGAAAGCGATGGGACAGAATGATTGAGCAGTGGTTCGAGTTTAGAATAATCGAACTACACTAGTTCGAGTCCCTAGAACTCGATCTACACCAACAAAGAATCTTATCCCTGCAACCCTATCCTGACACTTCGGTTGACCAGTGGTTCGAGGCCATAGGAATCGATCTGTATGGTTCGAGTTTTAAGGCGTCGGTCTAATGCAGATATGGATCGAGGATTCTAAAATCGTTTTACTAGATCGAGTTTATTGGCATCGATCATGTTAAATCGAGTTTTCCAAACTCGAACTAGGTTGATCGAGTTTTCCAAACTCTATCTACTTTGATCGAGTTGTCCAAACACGATCTACTTTTGATCGAGGTTTATGAACGCGATGTGGTTGTAGTTCGAGCTTTTAATCGTCGAACTGTTTTGTTGTTCGAGTTTATGGAACTCGAACCCCTTGAAACTTGGGTATTTTGGAAAATTTTTATAAAAGTTATGTATTATGGGAATTATGTTTAATTTTGGCTGTATTCTGGGAATTCTTCCGAGAAGGCCCGTTTCTCCTTTTTTTTCTTCCTTTTCCTAACCTTTCTATCAAAACGATAGGGTTGGACAATCGGCTCTCGGTTAGCGGTTAACCGATCGATTACAATCAAAACCGATCGATTGTCCACTAACCAAAAACTATGATAATTGAAAGTCGGTTGGTGTACGGAGGCTGGACGAGATGATTTTGGTCTTGGAAGGCGGTTTGGTTTTGGTGTCGTTACCAAAAACATTTGCGATTCAACCGCCAGTATGACATTAACTTTTAATCCATGCAATTGAAGAACTATTTTGTGTGAAGTTGTATAACATGTATTTAAGTGTTTTTATTGAGAATTTCTTATTATTGGTTAAAGCGTTTCTATAATACACCATAAATTTTCAATATATTTTCAACTCAGTGTCACGGTGTCACTTGAATAGTAAATTCATATTTTTTTTAAAAAGTAGTTTTCTCGTAAGCAGTGTAAAATTGTACCAAAGATTAAAAAATAGTTTTCTAGTGAGGATTGTAAAACTGTACCAGAGGTTACCGGAAAAGTAAATGATAGCGTAACAAGGATAGCCTAGCTGGTGGAGCGTAGTAGGTGGCCCCCAGGTTTGGTCTCGCTCCGCCATCACAAAAATGAAGTGGGTGCGTGGGGATGTTCTTGGGTAATAAAAAAACAAATGTAAATGATAAGATTGATGTGCATTTCGTGTAGTAGTCTTATCAATTCATATAAAATACAATCAAGTTATAAATCTTAGAAATGTCTAGGGTCGTATTCCACAAAGTCTTCTAATGCATAAGCACTCACATTTAACTACTCATGTCTTAACTCACAAAAGAAATGAAAGATACATTTATTGAGTAGAAAATATCACTCTATATAAAACAAGCAACTCAATTCTCAATCATATAATGTATCTCAATGATTCATCTATTGAATAACCATATTCCTTCCACTAAAGCATTCCAAACCGAGCTTTCACCACATACGAGAAGAACAACAGTTAGCTAATGCGTGTTTTTGCTTCATATGACATCAAATATCTAATAAAGAAAAGAGAAGTAAGGATATCACTTAGTTAAGTGTGAGCCTCTTGAGCCATAACAAAAGGTCTATAGCATTGGTGATCTAAACAATCAAGCATCGAGTCTATACTTGTATGAATGAGTGATCAGTCCTCTCATACACGCATAGGTCAATGGGATATCACAAGAAAGTAGTTTCCTAACATCTTAGATGATATTATAGAAAATGCATATAGTATCATCCAATATAATCTTAAACGTTGAAATATAAACATCCATGGCAACATAAATATCGAAATACTCAAGCAACCATAGAATAGCCTAACGCGAAATTATGAAATGAAATATTTATGTTATAACGAGTTCACATTTCTACACAATCAATTCGAAGTAGTTATACACAGAAGAGAATGAGGGTACTACCAACGATGATTGACTGCAATCCCTCCCTTGGATGCTAAGATTTCCACTCAAATAAAGTAAAAATAGAAGAATGTAGTGAATTTTTGCAGTGTGTCTATTACTATTGTCTAGTTCTCTATTTATAGTCGTTACAGTATGGGGGTTGTAGCCTTTTCTCCTCTAAGTTGGCCTAAACCTTCCTTTTATGAGTGGAACACGAATTTCTTTGACTTGAGGACAAAGTATGAGCTTCTAAAGTCTTCTGGGGCTTGGGCCCTTAGAGGCGGGCCAACATCAGTACCCAACGCAACCTCATTTCTTCTTCAATTGGGTTGCTTATGGGCCAAGCAACGCATCCATGCAATTTGGGCTCTGGCTTCAATGCCTATTACTAGCGACTATGAGACTGGTTTGTGGTTCGTGTTGATTATTTCATAAGATTGGGCGGAGTTTTCTCCAATGGACTCCTCTTGGGATCTAGTTGAGACTTCCGAAGGACTTCCCCTCCATTAGACTTCATCTTATGGGTGAAATACTTCTTTATTTTTCCAAACTTGCTCCATTGATCCTCCATAACCTTCCAATCTTTGATCCAATGTATCCTAGGTTGAGTTTTACCTTGAAAAGCACAGAAATATTACAAAAAGGCACTAAAAATAAAAAAACACAATCTAGGTCTAAAAACATATCATTGATCATGTAGTTACGATATTCAGAGAATTTAGGTAAAAACTCCTGAAGATGCATTGATAGAAAGAGAAAATCTATCAATTATGTGAGTGATAAACACTATAAATGGAGTTATCAGAAATACCCCACACTTGAACTCTGTTTGTCCCCAAGCAAACATTACTCACAATCATACAACTTAATGAAAACTAAAGAGCATCGCTCAATCCTAATCGTAGGTAGTGGATCAAAAGTGAACTTACAAGGTAAACAGTGGCAAGTGAGAATCCTAACCACATCAACATGCAAAAATACCATGTAATCCAACTCAACGTTAACCCACTAACCATGCATTAGAGTCATAAAACACATAGGATGAAGCTTTTTGAAAGTAATTTTGGTGCTTAAATGCTTCTACCATCACCTGACATACCCTTTAAGTATTTTTGCCTTAGCATACCAACAATCCCCCCCCCCCAATTTTTCCAATTTTTCTCATCGCTATTTTTTTGTTTTCTTGTGTAGGGGGTTTTACTAAAGCATTAGACCCATTTTAGTTGATCAGGAGCAAATTTTGTATCTTTACATTATTTAGAGTACTTCTTTTAACTCTTATACTTCAATTCATTTGTAGGGTCAATGAAATTTAGACGTGTCAGAAGCTCTATCTGTGCCCTTGAAAATACATCGTCAAGTTGGTTCTTGGTTGTTCATTGAACGGGTGGAACTTTTACTTGTACTGGAGAGATACTCGCTTCGAACAGGGTCACTGAACAACCATGTCTTGATGTAGTTTTTTCGCATTTTATAGAAGATACAGTTCACCATATGAATTTTTTTTTTTTTAAAAAAAGTGAGACTCCTTAGAAATCAATTAATGAATTAAACCACATAATATTCAAACATATCAAATGGTCATTATATTTCAATGACTATCACATTCTTCATAGTCACTACACTATCCTCTCTAAATCAAGTGACATTCCCTAGATTTAATGATTCAAAGTAAGATGAGCAGTGGACATGCTTGGAGGGAATGACTAAATATATAGCAATGTAAAGTATAAGGAAGTAGCACATAACACACCAATTCCGCTCCACACTTTAAAATGAACATTGTCCTTGATGGACTTAATAATCGTGAGTTATGAAAAAGATTGGAACGGGTTACTTCATTTGCCGTACTAATTTCAAATTGATCATGGAGAATAGCTAGTTCAACTACTTGATTGTAATAGGAAAACTCGAAATGATAGTTCAAAACAAACAAAAACAAAAGATAGATAATGGATACAAGCGGGTGCTCATGAACAATATCTTCTTTTAAGTTTTGATGTTATTGATAGCCTCGATGTTAATATTGGATATTGATTATTATGCGCTTCCAGCGAGAAAGCAACCCCACCAGAAACCTAGTCATTGGCCACATTTCGTTAAGAGTTATTGATACAATGAAGTGAAACTGTACCTCGTCTATATCAACCGTCTAAATTTGTATTTGCAACAAAGGGAAAACAGACTCTGGAATATCTAAACTATGCTAAATCAGACATAACCACATCTCTCAAGTCTCAACCAGCATTACAGTGGTGAAAGTAAGTAGTTCGAGGGGAGATGATTATGAGGGCAGCAACACAGGTAAAGGTAGAAAGGTTGTCACTGTCAATCCTCCTCCTCTTCATCATTCCAATCATATATAACCTCTGCGTTTTTAGAGACACGCCTGCATTTCATCACCTCGTTCATGAATTTGATAACCTTCTTGGAGCTCAACTGATGAAAAGGCGTAATGTGAATCAACTGAAGTCTTGGGGCAGTGACTAGTAAGAAAGTCACGAGGTCCAGCTCAAACGGACCACAGAGGCTATCCCCAATTCTCAACTCACTAAGATGCTGAAGGAAATCAGGGCAGTTCTCTTCTCCCAGCACCCTCTGTATGCTGTTAACTCGGTCATTTGCTGGCTGATCATCATGTACTTGGCTAGTCTCCAGCTACAAGCACATTTGTGAAGCAAAGTCAGGCTATAGATGCCAAAATTGATTACCATCATAAATCCTGCTAACAGTAAACTTAGTTTGCAAACACGACCAACCTTAATAGTGAGCCTACGCAAGTTGGAGAACCTCAGGATCGCTAGAACAAAGCTGCGTTCCATCTCCCAACTATCAAGGACGAGATGATTCATGTCGAGGACTTCTACCTTTTGAAGTAAATCAATATGCCTGGTGGGGGCATTGTTATCATCACCTGGAACAAGGAACTAAGAGGAAACCAAATACAATACACTGCATCTATGAGTTACAGCAACTTGTCAAGTGTTTTTGCAAGAGCCAAAATTGGCAGTGACAAAACTTACTTCTTCCAGGACAGAATCTTGGAGCTCACGGACACAGAGAGTTGAGGGAGAAGCAAACCAAGATAACGTTGAGGGATTGCCAATATCAAGTGGATACAATGAGAAAAGTAGTGGAAGTGTACTACAGTTGATGAAGACATCCTTGGACCCCATGAACATGAAGGCCTTGAGATATGGAGCCCTGATTTGAAGCTTACCAGCAAGACCGTGACAACACACAACCACCATATGTTCAAGCATCGGGCACTTGGGAAGGAAATTCTCGAAAAAATCATAGGGCAATGTAACATCTATCAATTGAAGATTGGTAAGCTTACTAAACCCAACAGACCAAGATGGTGGTGTAATTTCACAACACCCAAGATCTAGGGTTTCCAGGTGAAGAGCAGAAAATAGGGAAGAATGCACCTTATAACGTTCAGTGGACAGCTGAAGCACCAACTCTTTGATACCTTTGTTAGAAAGGTAAAGAATGATGTGGTTAAGATCAGTGCAGGGGGGTAATCCAGGGATTGACAGCACAAACTTGGTTATTGTCCTCCCATCATGAACAAGCAGGGAATTGTAAATGTTCGACATTATAAGCTTTCTCATCGCGTTCAGTTCAGATGCAGACAGATCTTCAGGAATTTGAGCAAACCCATCATCGAAAACAAGTTCAGGAATACCTCTCCACTGATGCCTCCATTTCCTTGACAGGATACTAGTTTTGGCGGCATCTTTAATGGGCAAGAACACGAGAATGCGCTGTATCACGTCGGCAGGAAGGTCTGTGATTCTATCACCACTGTACTCGCAGACCTGCTCCATCTTGTTGACTGACTCTACACAACGTCAAAGCAAGAAAACCCATTTCATACAAGCTCACAAGCATAGATATCAGTTCAGGAGAAGGCTTCCAAGACCGGTAATTTGGCAGAAAAGGATTGATTACCTCGATGATGAGGACGAGGAGGGGAATGGAGGCGAGTCGGATGGAAATGAGAGGGACGGCGAGTAGCCAAGTGCGATTGAGAGTCGTTGCTGGTTTACAGTGAGCTTAGGGCTTGGGAGACAGCCGACGGGAAGAAGCAAACAAACTGGACGGAAACGCATTTATTAGAGACGTTGTTCATTCATTCCGATTGCGTTTCTTTTGTTACGGTTCAAATCCGTGAGTCATTGCCTGGTCCTATATAGTTTATGACTGGTCCTAGAACAACTGAGAGTTTGCAAACTGGTCCTATACTAATACAAGTGCACCAAATAATCTGCCTAGGATTTGGATCATAATGAGAAGAGGATTATGACTTTAAGCTCCAAATTTCATATTCACTTTCATAGGCTTTGCTCATCAATTTGCAAAAGCTGAGTTGATGAGGTGAATCAATTTCGAGCTAAATTGATATACGTGTTTAACAAAATGGGTTAACTCCGAAGATGGATTTAACCAGAGTTCTTCTAGAGGCACATTTGTTACGCTCCATTTGATTTTTACGGCAAACCAGTTTCACGGAACAAACCAGATTCAGGCCAATCATCGTCTTTAAATTCTTACATTACTACTACTCTACTGGCCTTGATGAAACTCTCATATGAGGCAAGTGTGTTACAGAAGTGGGTTATGGTCTCAATCCATCGAGACGAAGAACGAAACGAGTTTTCAAGAAATAAGACGGTCAGCCCTACACCCGAGCTTCCAAACTGGTGCTCTCAACAGATCTTCCCAGCGGAAAACAAATAGGAAGTGAATTACACAAGAGAAGAGAAACATAGAATCTGGAAGATCTATACTAGGCTACAACAGACATCCATTACATCTCTCAACCACTGTTACAATGGCGAAAGTGATATTTTCTAGGGAAGCTGATTACGAGGGTGGGTCACAATCCCAGAAACACTTATATCTAATCTTTATTTCTTTAGAAACACGCTGATACTGCATCACCTCTTGCATGAACTTGGAGGCCTTGTTGGGGCCCCATTTGCGATGAGGGGTAATATAAAGCTTCCCAAGTAGCGGGGCAGTGGCTAGTACGAATCTCACGAGTTCCAGCTCAACCTGTGTACCATGGCAAAACTCGAGTCTGAACACTCTAAGATGCTGTAAACAACAACCGGATCCATCACCGCTTTCTGCTTTCAACAATGTTCCTATGCTTGATGTCGCAGCTTTATTTGCACGCTGATTTAGTTGCTTTCTGTCCAGCTACGATAGCATTGGACAAGGAACCAAGTAAGGCTTGAGATCAGAATCTATATAACCCCATATATGGACACTATTGCATTCTGCATAAGAAAACCTTTCCGTAGACTTTAACAAAACAAACCAACCTCAATTGTGAGCTCAAGCAAATTGGGGGAACTCATGATGAGACAAACAAAATCACGCGCCTTCTTCAAGCTGCAGCCCAAGTCAAGGTAACAGATGTGGAGGAATTTTAACTGGTGAAGTGGAGTAGGAAGCCCGGTGGAGAGATTATCAACGCCTGCAGCAAGGCACTAATTAAGAGAAACACCCCAAATGAGTACCTAGAAACCCATCTTTTTGCAAGAATTGGTAAAAGGAGAAACGATCAAACTTACTTCCAAGATTTTGAAGTCAATAGCAACCCGTTTGAGTGCTGGGAGAGTAGCAAATAAAGCCACCATATCTGCAGGCTTATCTACTTTTTCGTGCACACTAAGAATACTAACTACCTCCAGAAGTGGAGTACACTTGAAGTGGAGTTTCTGTGAGCCCCCAAAGAAGAAGAATTTTTTGAGACACGGAACAACAATTTCATGATTACTTGGACCTTCACAACTAGTGAGCGACAAATTTTGAACCATGGGGCACTTGAGGAGGAAGCTCTCAAAGAAATCAGAGGATAGGGTTACTTGTGCCAAAGAAAGACAGGTAAGCTTACTAAAACCCACAACCCATGGTGGTTGTCTAAATTCACAAAACGAAAGACTCAGGCTGTTCAAGTAAAGAGAATTAAACAGGGAAGAATGCAACTTGTAAATGCAGCTAGCAGAAAAGTCTAGGGCGAGTTCCTGGAGACCTCTGTTAGACAGATAATAAATGATTTGATCAATCCCATCACAGGACATCAACCCATCAACGGAGAGCTGGAACTTTGCTATTGGACCATCATGAACTAGCAGCACTTTGTGAATGTTTGAAATCAACTTGGTTGCTATCTCATTCGATCTAGATCGATCCTTTTTCAGAACGTTCTCATAGAATGCAAACTGAAGTTGAGGAATAGTTCTCCAATGGCCCCTCCACTTTGTAGACAATGTTGCCATTTTGGCAGCATCTTTGGTGGTTAGCAACACCAGAATTCGGTGTATGACATCAACAGGAAGGTTGGTGATTCTATCGGCACCCAGTTCGCACACCCGCTTCATCCCTTCAGTGCCTAATGCCTATATATACTAATACCACACACACAAAAAAGTTCCAAACAATCAAACCATAACCAACTGTTCATACAATTAATCAAACATAACTCTACCTACAACTACCGATCGACATAGCTCGCTTCTAATCTCTGCAACTAGCTTTCAACGAGTATGTACATAGATTGATAATTACCTTCTTTAACAAGGAGAGGGTTTCTCTGCAAGACCCAAAAGGCTGAAATCGCCAAGGGTGGGGAGATGATGAAACCCTTTCGCTTTCTTCGTGCTTGCGAGCTGCGATATTGACAATTGACTGAAACGAATTCCAAGAAACGAGACTTCGGTTGTGTTCTCTGTCTGTCGAGGATGGTGCGGGCCCATGCCCCATTTTGTTTTGGTGATGGACTAGGTGATTTGCATGGATGGATTTTTCTATTGGGCCAAAATTGACTGGCGGTGGCGGGCCTGATGTCATTGACCGAAAGGATTCATCGGAAGCCTTTAAACACTAATCTGCCCCCTTCCAAACACGTGTCAAATTACGATCCGATTCATTGGTCCGAACCGAATCCGTCCAAACAAATAAAAAATGAGTTGAATGCGATTGACTTGTAGGTTTAGGGTCTGGTTGGATGGGTTATAGTGGTCAATCCTCTAGGCCCCATCTCACTTCATATGTCACACTCAAAATGATAAAATCACTTATAATTTGATGAGATGTTTAAGAAATTCATAAGCATTTGAAAGACAAGTTTGAAATGCAAGGATAGTCAAACATCATTTGTTTCTTGTACGTAGTAGTAGTATTACTTTCGTGATTGTTTATTACCGATTTGTACAATTTGTATTTCTTTTCATTTGCATAAAAGTATGCGAGCATTTGTTAATTTACATCTGCTATATAAGCTTCTTGTCATATATATGCAAAAATTTGTATTCTTTAAAAATTTGTGAAGCATGTTTGATATTGTTTCTCATAACACTCATAACACATGAAATGACCCGAAATTTGATCCGAAACCTGATGGGTTGGGTCGATATTTGAATCGAAATCATCGAACCCAACTTGACCCGGCCCGATTGAAGCAAGTTAGATGCTCTGCATTTGAATCTAGGTTTGTCAACCTAGTTTAATGGTATGATCCGAATGATGGTACAACCGAATTATATGACAGTTTATGGTTTGATAAAACATGTAGAGAAGCGGAAACCATTAATGATAATCGAATTTAAGCATATATATCCATATTTGAAGACAATCATAGTTGATAAAAAATTGACATTAAACTCAAAGTATAACGTCCCAAACCTTAGCAGCTCTTACATATGTAATGTAAACAAAACAAACTATACTGTGTATCTCTGTACTAATTACTATATGCTGGAGAATCATGTTGTTCTTTAGAGATTCGTTGTTGATATTTGTCGCAACCGCCCCTCGAGATCGGGGTATCGCTCGCGAATCGATTTGGAGTCGCCATCGACCCAGCTTTGGGATGGGTCGAACACCCTTTTCCGGTTTTAATTTTTGTTAAAACCAGAATTTTGGTCTACGAATTTTAGATTTTGGGTTTGGGAGTACGGTTACGTGTGGGGAAGTGTATTCACACCCCACAACGCCCCAAATGGGTACTACTTAAATCGATAAGTTTTAAAAGGGTTGGGTGTGTTATTGTTTGTGCATTATTGTGTATTTAATTATATGATTTGATTTAATTTGATATTTATTAATATACGATTCGATCATTACGACTATTGACGTAAATCTCGAAAGGTAAAGAAAGAGTTTTATAATTAGTTGGACTCGAACCTATTGGTTGCCTACGTACCCGACTTAGTCGGGATCAAAGTCCACGTAGTTCGTTGTAATTTTGAGTGGGTTTGAAAGAGGAAACCTAACACGTTTTATTGATCGTGTTTAAGGTTTGTTATTGAGTTATTTTGAGAAAATAATTTTTGTATTTTTGATTTGGTAATCGAATGAATAACGATTTTTAATGAATTATGTCATATAGCTATTATGAGCTACTAACCATGATTTGTGTATTAGTGGTTAAATTATAAAATGGCGAGGTGCATAACTAATGTTGACTTAAGTGGGCAAACACAGTGAGTGTGCTCGTTTTAGGTAAGAGGGGTTACCACAAAGGAAAATTTAACCTAATTGCTCTCTAATCTGGCCGCCTAATTGACTCCACCCTCTCTCTCGTTCTATTCGCCACATAAGCGATCAGGGGAGAGCAAATACCTCGTCTTCTTCTTTCTTCGTCCACCTTCGATTATTCCTCTTCAAATCGTCCTCCCTTCTTCACTTCCTCTGGAAATCGAGCAAAGCAGAACCAATCCGTTCCAATTTCCCTCTTCCTGTCCTTTCTCGATTTGCGTTCCCCTCTCTTTCTTTCTGCAAATGACGAGAACAAAAAAAAAGGGAAAAAGAAGACAACGACGATGATGGCGGCACTTGACCCCGACGATGATGACGACGGGGGACACTAATCACAGGTTAGTCTTTTTTGGTTGCATGTTCGGTTTTTTGGGTTTTATAGGGTTCTGATGGTGTTTTTGTGCTTTGGGGTAGAAATCAAGTAAATGGAGAGGGTCGCCGGCAAAGAAATCCGACGGCGGCGTCGGCGAGGAGCCTTTCCTCCGATGATGGATTTTGGTGGGTTTTAGTGAAATCTCTCGTTTTTATCTCTCGTGTTATTTTTAAATTCCCATCCCTAACTTCTTTTGCTTATTTTGGCAGGTTTGAACATGAAGAAACGGAATCGATTTGGCGATATCCTTCCTCCCTTTTTAAGCCTTTAAGCTAGATTTAGGTTTTTCATTTAATGGATTTAGTAATTTGGAATTGTTAAGAGTAGTTAACATATACTTGGATGGTTGTTTTTGAGAGATTCAAAATCTGGGTTTTTGATGTTCTTCGTGGTTCTTGATGATTATGATGAACTGAACTTGTGTGTTTAAGCTAAAGATTAGCTTGAATCTAGATTTTAGCATGTATTTTGATATTCTATGCAAACTTTGAACTATATGGATTGGTTTGTTCATTTGGCGTGTGACATGGAACGATCTGATTTCGGAAGTAAGGTGATGTGTATGATATTTAATCTTGGATTGGGTTTGTTTGTTCGGGGCTGGAAGTTTGTTTTTGGTGATTGTGTATGGCTTACTTCGAATGTGTGTTAAGATTAGAGGGACAGCCCTTAAAATAGAGAAGAGCATTTTAAAGTACCTTAAAACAAACTGAACATTGAGTCAAGTGGTATTTGCTTGGAATAAATTGGTATCTATCTTTTTTAGAATCAGATGATTATGAAAGGTAGAAGTAGAGTGTAAATAAATGGTAGTTTGATGATGAAATTACCAACCCTTTTTGCCGTGGTTTGTGGATGTTTCCTTGCTGTCTTCTCTTGTTTGAAACTTGGGGGCCACTGCTGCTTCTCCTCCTTTGCAGCTTCTGTGAGGTTTGCTGTTACCTCCTCTGTTTGCTCCTCTTTTTGGTTCTTGACTTGTGTGGATAATAAGAAGAGAGTAAGAGTATAAGAGTGTCCTTTCTCTGTTTCTGTGTGTTTCTTTCTTCTTTTGATTTTGTTGTTGTTGTGATCGGTCTGTGATTAAGAAGAAGAAACGGGAAAGTTGTCTTTTTGCTGAGCTTTGTTTCTTGTTTGGTTGTGGGTTTAAAGAAGAAGAAAGAGGTAGAGGAGAGCTTTTTATTGTATGCAGTTGTCTGTGTATTCAGAGGAGGGAAGGAAGCTTTTATTTGCAGAGCTTTATTGTCTCTCTTAACATGAGAAGAAGAAGGAAGAAGAATGAGTCGGTGTTCGAGGGAGTGGAGGCGTGATTATTCTTTTGGTGTGTGTGTTTGAGGAAGTGGAGCTGTGGGTAAGGAGAAGAAGAATTCTGTTGTCTTTTTTTGTCTTTTTGTAAGAAGAAGAGGAAGAGAAGAAGAAACTTATATCTAGGAGGAGAAGGCAGGAAAGAAGTCCCTGGCAAAAGGGAAAGGAAGAAGTCTCCTCCTCTTAGGTAAGAGCCAAAAGGCTATTTTTATAGCGAATTGCTGCTTGGACAGCAAGTATTTCAACAGTGTATTTGTGTTTTTTTTGGGGTTGAACCGGTCTGGTTATGTCAGAGCTGACCGGGTTGACTGGTTTTTACTCATGTTGACTGACTTGACCAAGTTGACTTTTGACTTTAGTTGACTTTGGACTTGGGCTTTGACTTGAGCTCTTTAGCTTATTATTGATTGTAAGAACTATTTTAATTAGTTGTGATATGTCATTTATTTAGTAATTGTACTTGTAATTTTTAGTTTGTATTTCTAATCGTAATGTAATTATTATCATCAATTGGTAATCATAATGTAATTGTTAATAAAAAAAAGGTCCGTATTGATTTCTTTTGCACCAAAATCCAAAGCCCAAATCTCGCAAAGTCCAATTCAACTAGTCAATTCACGCGATGAATAAATTGAGCGAATGCTTAATTCGTATAATCAAAACAAAACAAGTCAACTCAATTGAGTTGAAACAAGTCGACTCTCCAGATCAAATTGTAGCGATCGTGATTTGCTATTGCTTAATCTCCATTGAGTTGAGACAAATATAACCAATCACAATAAATATGTTTTAGCCGAGAGTTCATTTAAGATTTGCTATTGTAAATTTTAACAAAAATTTAGTTAAATATGTTTTGACCCGGACAAAAATTGGTGTCTACAGTTGCCCCCTTTGTATATCTCTTGGTATTTTAGAGGTATACAAAGTTATCATAACACACTATTTTTGGCCGGTTAATTATTGATATAATTTGCAAGGTTGGGGCGCTAGCCCACTCCCTTTTGGTAAGTTAAGGTGAGGTAAGGTAAATTTATGTGGTTGTATGACTTGTTTATTTTATTTTTCATGGCGGTATGGCCTGAGTTGGTATTTGGTATTTTGGCGGTAGGGCCTGAGTTGGTATTTAGGTATCGTGGCGGTATAGCCTGACTAGAGTTTTCTAGTTTCATGCCGGTATAGCCCGTTTTAGGAGTGTTTTCCATGGCAGTATAACCTGATTTGGGTTTTTGGTCCAATGGCGGTATAGCT